TCATAGTCAACCTGCTAATAGTCATGAATTATACCCAATTGTTAATGAAAATGATACTTTACAGGGTCCCTCCTAAAAGTAGGAAAATTTATAAGCTCTGTTTATTAATGAAAACAGATTTAGGCTAACTTTAGAAAACAGAAATTACAACAGTTGGAAGGAATTTTTCTAATTCGAAATCCCAGTGAGTTTCATTACAATGTACGTAATAGAAATAAGGCGTTTCTCGATGAGCAAAGATGGACTTTGTTCTTAAATTATTATTAATAATAACTATTTTACCGTAATTTTATATGGCTTTTTTCATTCAGTCGTCACCTTATTTTTAGGACGCTTCTTTGTGTGTATCTGGTGCCCGCGATCGTTCCCTGTGCATCTGGAATTTGAGTTCTTCTGGCTCAAATGACACACCTATGGTGATCAAAAATGCAGCGCACAATGTAAGCAGATTTATTGCCGTATAACTGGACATGGACTTAGACTCACCGTTTTCAGCAAATCATCAACTTGAGTACTGCCTCAACTGATTTTGTTGTCATGAGCTTGACTGAATATGGACTATCGTTTTGTTTCACTCAAGTCAATGTTATATTTTTATAATGCATAGTCGGCTTTCAAGGGATGGATTTGGACGATTTCATCGCAAGAAAATCGCGTCTTCACCGGCTCGTTTGATAGTACGATCCATGCTTGGGAACTGCAGCAGTCTGACATTGTCTTGTATTCTAATATATGGTAAAAAATTAACGTTTTTAGTTTTAATCCGTATTTACTTATGCACAAATACTATTTCTGAATGTGAATATGTAACCCGTAACTTCGTTTTTCTCAGACGTAGATGACTTATTTTGAATGTTTAAATCAAGTACAATATTATATAGTATTCCGCTGAAACCGAACAGTAGAACTCGTATTAACCTGTGGTATAAGGAAGGCAAGTGGATATAGGCAGCAGCACAAGGGAAGAAGGTTGTTACTTTTTTACTTTTATGTTCAACTTCAAACTGATTTATTCAGCAACACCTATGCACAAGTCGCATAGTGACTTCAGGCAAGTTGGTAATTGTTCACCACTCTCTTTAGAGAAAACAGAAAATTACACGCTATGCTTGCTAAATGACTATGGATTCTTCTTTAAAATGAACCGCTGGTGACTGATAGCCTAGAATCAGAGATTAGAGTTTCACCGTTAGCTTCATAAAATGAAATGCAGAATCAAATGGTCCCCCCCCCTCATGATGAAAGTGTAAGGGAGAACGACACCCTAGCATTTACAGACTTTTCTGTTTTCAGGCACTAGAAAACTTAGTTTACGGTGAAAACATGTCCAAACGAAACTGTCGATACTGATAACAGTACAGTAGTCCATATAATTGAATTCGAGCGAAATGATCCCAAAAAACTGACTGAAGAAAGAAAAAAAATTCTGGAGATTGTTGCAACAAAATGAATACATTTCACATTATGAAGAAATAGAAGGAC